TAAAAACAGTCCAGCTTTTTATACATTAAAATAAATGTCGTCCCATGGACATCGCCATGTTGTTTACACAGCAAAGCATTCTGGGTAAACTATGTATGCCAGGTCCAGTTATGCTAGATTCATCCAGCCAAAATAGCATTGAGTTAGTTAGTTGAAATTGATGGAAATGTAGAAATCACAAGAGAAAATGAAGATGATGAGGAGCAAATGAGGAAGAAGACGGACGTCATGGAAAAAGATGGAGTTTGTGCTGCTGCTGCCACCGTTAGCGTCGTAAATAAAACAGTGAAGGACATGAACTTCTGACGGTGTGATCCGGTAAGTAGCTCTGTAAACAGCTCTGTGTCCGGTCAAACCTCAGTGATTTCACTTTCGTTAGCAGCAATAGCCATTAGCTTCCTCATAAGTTTTGCTCAGACAAACGGCTCACAGTCTTCTGGAGAGAAATGTTGAAAGCACAAATGTGACTCATTCGATGCTGGCTCGCTTCACAATTTTCTTTAAATTGCAGCTAACAGCGCCACCATGTGGCATTGTCAAAATTTACACCAGTCAAATGCAAAGTCAGTCAGTGGAGGCCTCACTTGTCATACTGGAAAAATTATGATAAGATCATTTATATAGCCATTTTTACCCTGTGGTTTGTACTATAAAGTATTTATTTTCATTTAGCTTCACCAATTTTGATTATTTTTCTTTAAAATGAATTTTTGCAATTTTGCATTTAAATGCTCAGAAGTGCAGATGGTGAGGCGGCAGAGCCTCACCTGGGACTGATCAACCTCTAACTGCACTGGCTGCCATTCTCAGAGAGCATGCGCTTCCTGTCTGTACACCGTTAATAAAACGGTTGTGTGTGAAGGATACAGAAAAGAAACCCGCAAACTCCTGTTAGATGAGCTAATAGCAGCGGCAGCTATAATCTACCACAGTAATCACTTATTAATGATCGCAAAATAAACATGAAGCAAAAATACACTAGTGCAGCAACAATAACAATAAATAACAAATGGCAAACTCTATAGGTGAAAAATATAATGAAGAGATATATCTGTTTGTTGAAACATGGAAAGAGTAGCATTTTTAAAATATGCAGACATTGAGACAAATGAATCGGTTGCATCTGCCGCCTTGCTGAAAAAACTGCTAATATGAGTGAAATCTGTCTGCAGGCAGGATGTTCAACCTAACAGTTTCATATCTCGACTCCAGAGACAATATTTCAAAGTAGCGTAAATACAATCTGTTTCTGCTTTTGTCGCCCTGTAGAAATTATTGCAACACATTTAATACTTTCTCAGAAGCATTTCTGGGTTATGTTTTATGTCGGATGGAAACATGTTGACTCCTGAAGCTGCACTGAGCAAATTTAACCTTGGAGTTGGTCTGGCAGAACCTGTTGCGACTGTGACACTTTGGTCTTATTTAGTCAACACTGCCTGTGCTATTCTCTCTGTTTTCATGTCAACACATTTTGTTTCCTGCACAATACAGTATGAAGAAACTGGCATCCATTTCTTATCTGCACATGCGTTTAAACAAGTTGCAGGTTTTATGTCGACCAGCTGAGCAGAAGTCTGACTTTTTAACACTAATTCATTTTCCTGTTAGCCGTTTCCATTTCTGACTCCATGAGGGAAGATTTCAAACTGCTGTTTCTTTTTCTGATCTAAGATATTTGACATAAACACGACCTTTACGCAAGTTAGGGGTGTTCAATCTGTGGACCACGGGCCATTTGTGGCCCTTGAATTTATTTTTTGAGGTTAAATAAAGTTTTATTGGATGGATTATAGTTCTTTAGAAGTCATTAGACTTTCATGAAACCTTGACTGATAACATTTCCGCTAAATGGGAGAGGAAGCAAGAGTTTTCAAATGCATCCGTCTCACTCTCCTAATTTTAATTGTTTTAATTTTTACCAACGCAAATTTTTACTTCCAAGTTTTGCCAATTTTGACCTTTAAAAAACACTGATGGAAAAAAGAGAAAAACAATTTCAACAACTCAGAAACGGTCAGTTACAACTAATACTTGAGATTCTGCTATTCAGTGTGGCGTAACAGATTCATCACAACCATTTCTGTGAATTTCAACCTGTTAAGATTTTTTTTCTCTCTTTATTTTAGCTTTTCAGCAGATCAGCTGACCATCAACCTATATTATTTACAATTCATTTTGCTAAGAAATGCATTTTTTTCTCCATATTAGACATTGTTTCTCAGTTAAAAAGTCCTAAAATATCCTACAAACCTAATGAGGCAAAGTGAAATAAAAGCAGCGTTTAAACCAAGACGTTGCATTAACTGATCACTGCAGTGCAGAATATTAATGCTGATATATTAATGTTTGTTTTTGTCTGTTGAGTAAAAACGTCCTGACGTTGAAAGTTGTGATTTAGACGTGTAAGAATTTTAAGGAAGGCATTTTTGAACATGTGGTCTTCAGCTGCTCACCTTTCAGCTCCATTAAACCTGCAGATTTACACCGCAGCCACAAAAGGGAAGAAAAGAGAGGAAAGGAAAAGAAATCACATTTCCTGGATAAGTGCAGTTATTGTTTCCGTTCAGGGCGTTGGACAGAACCAGGCTGGTTTGGTCTCGTTTCAGGTGCACTGATATGTTTGCACTGGAGACGGGATGAAGGATGCTCGGTGGGATTTTGTGTTTTTGCTGTGTGTAAAATAAACATATTTTAATCTGCATAGAAACCCACATTATTAAATCATATGAAATAATTACATCTCGGAGAAAGTCGGATATCAAATATTAACTAATTAAAATCATCTCTACTCTCACTGCGATTTAAATGACAAAAATAAACAATTATAATAATTTGCCATTAAAAATGTCAGGAGCAGATTTAATGTTTAGCTCAAAAAGGCCTTTTTTAATGTAACGTAAATTAAAATGTTTACTGTATAAAAATATATAATCTAAAAGAAGTTTGGATATGCAGTGACTTTTGGCGGCTGAAGGCGGGTTCGATCTTGTTGCTAAAGTTCGTGGTTGAAGTTTTCCAAAACTAGTTTTGGTTTCCATGCTGACAACATTTAAATGTCTCCCTTTGAAACGCAAAAAGAGACAATAATGCTTGGAAATGATATTCTCCTGCTTCTGGAATGAAAAAATAACTTTGACTTGATGTTTCGAACGCGCCGGGTTTTGTGCAGAAACTTTTAAAAATGGAGGCTTTATATCTGTGGAAGCCAGGACTGTAATCAATAAGTCACTATCAATAAGTAAACATCAACACTATCAGTGTTGATGTTTCATTTCAGGCATTTTTCTGTCCAAAGTCTCTTCACTGTCATAACATGTTAGGTGAAGTATCCAGTACACCTCTTAAAGGGCCAGTATTATGTTTTTAAAGGCCAATTATTACATTTTACAGCTTAATAAAGTAACTATGTTACCTTATTAAGATGCTATATTCATCCTTAATGGCTTGAAATTGTGTTGTCCTGTCTGATCGATCTCAGCTTTGTCCCTGGTTACTCTCTGTGTATTTAAGTCCATCTGTGTCTCTTGTTTCCTTGTCGGGTTTTTGTCTCGTCTGTCATCAATTCTTGTTTATTTCCAGTTTATTATGAGCTCTTGGCATTCTGCCTGGATTATTGTGCTTTATTCTTCATTAAATCATCATTTCATTCTACCTCACCATTTCACAACCACAAAACCTGACATCAATACCATGATTTATTGTTTCTCTCTTTCCACAAAAAAAATGTAAAAACATTTGAAATACAATTTTCTCTACAGACTTCATAAATCCTTTTATTTCTTGTTTCAGTTTTTGTTTTTGTATTTTATTGCCATTACCGTTATATCACTGGAAAATGGTTTCAAAATAGCAATATTATCGTTTATCACAATAACCTCTGGGGCAATTTATCATCTAGTAAAGTTTGTTATTGTGACAGCCCAATTACTTCATGTTTTCACCCACATGAGCAGAATTTACTCTGTATTCACTGCGTTTACTTATTAAAGCAGTCGAGTCACAACATGAAGCCAGATCCAAACATTCCCACCAAGAAAATCAGTTTCATGAAGGATCGTTTCAGCAAAACTCTCGATTAATCCCAGATCTGTTTTCTTATCTTTGCACCTGTTGAAGCTTTAATACCTTTAATGTCCCTCAAGTTACACGAGACTTGAAATATTTAATAAAACTTTGCATCGTGGCTCCATGACAATCAGGATCTCTGATTTCTGCTTTTAGATTTGCTGCGTTATAGGCGTTACCTTCGATTGGCTGCAGGTGAGCTGAGCTCCGCCGCCGTGTTCTGCTTCTCCTGTACGGCCAGAACAGCTGCAGGCTTCACATGCAGGCAGTTTATATGAATAAATGAACCGACCTGATCCGAGCCGCGTCAGGGAAGTCCCCCTCACAGGGACAAAGGACCCTGATGTGGAACCAGAAAGATTTAGCGGGATTAGGATTGAGCAGCAGCAGTATTAATCTACAGTAGCACATGTAGTGACTGTGCTCAGTTTCAGCAACATGTAAAAACAAAACTTTGTTTTTGCAGCAGATCCCATCATCTACTTAGTCAGGAATGTTTGTTTCTCCTAATTTACAATAAATTGCTTAAACTTTTACGTTTGGTTCCTCCAGTCGTAGTGATTAGCGCCGTTAGCATGTTTCAGCTCAGGATCCATGTTGTTGGTATTTCTGCCACCCGACTCGGGGATAAATGATTCCTCTATGTATGTTTAGCTTTCGTGTTAAACAAAGTGACATTTACAAAACATAAATAACAAATATAGTCATTTGTTACAACATTAAAATCTAAAATATCCAAACGGCTTGTTGCCATGGAAACAATACTGTCATAACAAGTTTCCAGATCTTCAAAATAAAATGGATTTAACATTTAAATGAAACTTTCTGGAGAATAAAGTCAGCCTCATCAGATGGCGAACGTTTAGTTTTAAACAAATTGAGAGTTAAAAGTTTATGGAGCTGTAATACTTTGAACAATGTTACCATGGAAACCATATCTCAAATGTAAATATTATGACAAAAATAATCTGAAGAGGAAACGCAAAGAAATCGTGAGTAAAGGCTTATTTATTTATGACATATATTTGTAATAATTCATGCTGATGTTTGATAATTCACTTTGCAAAATGCAGAATCATCTGATGACTAAAACTTAAACGTGTTTCATGACTCATTTATTTCCCTGGTAGAAGTTTACAAAGCATCAGTTTAAATGCATAGTTAGCTTCGCTTGCGAAAACTTTCTAAATTAGAAACAGAAATGAAAACTTTTCAGAGAAATTAGGGAATGTATTTAATCCTGGCTGACAAAAGCAGAAAGTTTTAAAATCATAATGTGTGAAATCAGGTTGTCTCTAATACATACTGGTTAACCTTAACCCTAACCCTAACCTTAACCCTAACCTTAACCCTAACCTTAACCCTAACCCTAACTGATGCATAAATATCATAAATTCATTTTTACATGTCATGAATGTTTGTTTTATGCAGGACTGAAATGGAGAAACGTCACCTGGAAGAGAAGGCATCAGTGGAAGAGGTTAGTTATTAAAACTTGGGAAAAACTAAATGTTACTTTTTGTTTTAGTTGTTTTTCTGCATTTAGTTTGAATGTTTTCTCTGTGCATGGATGGGATTTCTCATAAACATGAAATTTATTTTACTTTGGGTTCTCTGAAATGCTATATATGTGTGTGTGTATGCGCATGGTTCTTGGTCCTGTATGTCTCTTTGTTGACCTTTGACCTGACCTAACATAACCCAAATCTTTATGTTGGCTTCGAAAAGAGATCTGAAACCTTTACAGTCCAAAGAACCAGTTTTACCTTCAGATAAAAACACTTTTTTAGAGCCACAAATGTTACATGACTTTTGATACACATCTTTGCTCTGATGCTCCACACAGCCACGTTAGGAGACCGTAGTCCTCGACACGTCCGTCGCAGGCTCGATTCCCAGGCCTGTGACCTTTGCCACATGCCGTCCCCCTCTCTCATTTCCTGTTAATTCATTATCAAATAAAGGCCACTAGAGGCAACAAAGCCTTAAACAAACCTACAGTAATCTAACTATAGAAAATCTGTTGTCATTTTTAAGGAACCAGCATTTTATTTCTTTTTTGGGATTTAAACAACATGATAATAAGATCCTGAGTTGTTTGGTTGGTTTTTTCATTTCTGTTTCTTAGCTCCTCTTCTTTTATAAGCTGGTTTTTGTTTGACCCTGGTTTGGTGCTCTTTTAATTATTCTAATTTCAGTATTTTAATTTTTTTACTTTGTTAGATCAGTCTTGTTTCTGTAATTCAGTCCTTTCTTAGCTATTCTAGTTCATTATGCCTCGTTGGTTCAGTTCCCCTTTATGTTGGATTCATTTAGTCCCTTCAGTTTCTCTCTCTCCTCTCTACCTGTTAGGCCTCAACCTGATCCTTTGTGTCAACATTCAGCCTCCCAGTACTTGAGCACCTCTCCTTCAGTTACTCCTTGCTGGTTCCTCCTGTCACTTCCCCCAAGTCTCCCCATGTTCTCATCACTGGTTTCATCTTTTCATTATTCACTGCACATTTCCACTGTTTGCATTTGGGTTCTCAATTCATCTGCCACCAAATCATCACGACACATAAATAGTTATTTTTCATGAAACATCTGAATAATATATTAACTGCTAAAGAGTTAAATGTGAAAATTAAAACCTGAATCTGCCTTTAAATAATCTTTCACACCAATGATGATATTTGTGAATAATTAAGTAAAATTATAGGATAGTTTTCAACTCAGTAACAAGAAAAACAGATAAAAAAATACATAACTGGAACTTTTCTTGTTCTTCTGTTGTGGAAATTCAATGCAGTTGTTCTGTTGTACATTACTGATGACTGTGGCCCTGTGGGTAGAGTAATTGTTTTGTGATCAGAAGGTTGTAGGTTCAATTTCAGCTTCCTCCTGGCATATGTTGATGTACCTCAGGGCAAGGCACTTAACCCATACTGATGTATAAATGCGTGAGAGTTTGTGTGTGGATGTGACTCCAGTACAAAGGATGTTTTTAATCTTTGCAAAGCAATAAAGCTGTTAACTATCAAAGTGTTAGTGTATTATATTTACTGTTGGTTGTACTGACTGTACTTCCCTTCATAGAACCAAACCTGGACAAACCCAGGCAAACACGATGATGAAGCCTCAGTTGGTTCCAGCGATGGACAGCAGGTTCAGCCCGGCCAGAAGCTGCAGAAAAAACATCGATGTGAAAAGTGTCTGAAACATTTCAGATTTGAGAGTCATCTGAAAATTCATCAGCACATTCATACTGGAGAGAAGCGCTATCTCTGCGACCAGTGTGGAAAGGGTTTCACTCAGAATGGTTATTTTAAGATTCATCTGCGAATCCACACTGGCGAAAAGCCTTACAGCTGCAATCAGTGTGAGAAGAGGTTCAAATGTTCCACAGGGCTGAAGTCTCATAAGCGAATACACACGGGTGAAAAGCCTTACAGCTGCGATGAGTGTGAGAAGAGCTTCAAATATTCCTCAGTGCTGAAGTGTCATCAGCGAATCCACACTGGTGAAAAGCCTTATAGCTGCTATCAGTGTGGGAGGAGGTACAGATTTGCTTCTGGGCTGATGTATCATAAACGAATCCACCCAGAATAAAAATCCTGATCCACATAAGACAGCAGCAACATCTGGAATGTGAGGGAACTTCTTTCTCTCCTCCTGTCTTCTATCACTACAGCAACAACAGTCGGTGCTGTCACTAACATTTATATCAATAATAATAACAAGCATGCAAATAAGTTGTCATGTTGTCCTTTTGTTGTAGCAAAAACAAAGATGCTGTCGAGATCTGGGGTTGTTTGAGTTTGCTTTTGGAATTTTGGCATTTTTGGTGTTCCTTAGGTTTTCTGTTTTTGTCTTGTTTTCCACTTCTGTTCTTCCTTAGTGAGTCTAATTATTTTCTGTTATGCTACATTACATTCTGGTTTTAATCACAACACACACGCACATAAACACTATATACCAGCTCGCTGTATAATAAATAAATAAAATAAATTTAATTCCCTTCTCACCCACCGCGGGTGGTTCTTATCCTCTGAGCTCGGGTCCTCTACCAGAGGCCTGGGAGCTTGAGGGTCCTGCGCAGTATCTTGGCTGTGCCAAGGACTGCTGCACATTTCTGGACTGAGATGTCTGATGTTGTTCCTGGGATCTGTTGTAGCCACTGCTCCAGTTTGGGGGTTACTGCCCCGAGGGCCCCGATGACCACAGGCACCACTGTGGTCTTCACCTTCCAGGCCCTCTCCAGTTCTTCCCTGATGCCCTGGTGTTTCTCCTGGTGTTTCTCCTGGTATTTCTCCAGGTGTTTCTCCTGGTGTTTCTCCAGGTGTTTCTCCAGGTGTTTCTCCTGGTGTTTCTCCAGGTGTTTCTCCTGGTGTTTCTCCTGGTATTTCTCCAGGTATTTCTTCAGTTCCCAAATGCGTCTGGAGAAAAATGAGGTTTGGAAAATCAGCTGTCCAGCAGAGAGGAGGAAATCAAACTCATTTATATATTAATAGATACCTAAAAAAAATCATTTTAAACATTTGTACTACAGTTACTTGAAACCACCTTTTAAATAAAATATACAATGAAAATACTTATGCAGCTACATGTAAGGACCGTTTCCATGTTTTACATTTAAGGCTCCTGATGTTCAGAAAATATCACTAGCTCCAAAACAGTCGATATTTTCACTGATAACTAATAAAAATGTGTTACATAAAACTGATTGGTTTTAACATTTTTGTTTGCATTTTATTGTTTTGTTTTTTGTTTCACAATCTGAAATAGAAAATGCAAATTGTTGTCATTCAAACTTCAGCCGTTTTTTGTCGTCGTTCAGCTGTGTGGCAGTTTGTGACATCACGCCCTTCTCTGTGACATCACAAAGCTGCATTCCTGAGCTCTACGCGAAGAATCTTTACAGAACCCAAAGAGCAAGGAGATTATTTCCGAGCAAGAGATCAAAAACAAACGTTTTTGAGACAAAACGGCATTTTCTAACACAACAAAGGAAGTTATTGAGCATTTATTGGATTTGTCGAGACAGAAAGGAGCAACAATGAATGAGATCAGTAAGACTTCTTCGCCTGAGTACCAGGAGATCATACAACTCCGTGACCAGACTGTAGCTCAACAGTCACTGAAACTGCGTGTCGTCCTGAATGAAAGCAGCATGGTGACTGAGGAACAGTCTCTGATTAACGGAAACGAGACTCCGGAGACTCAACTCAACTTGGACAGCAAACAAGTTGCATTTGAAAAAGACATAGAGCTTCAGCAGCAAACCCAGGATTTGCAGATCTCGGTCAACGTAAATGCGGCCCTGCTGGAGAGAAACGAGGCTTTGGAAATCGAAGTGCAACTTCTGACCAGACTGCTGAGAGACAAAGAGGTGGAATACAGACTCCACTATCGGGCTCTGGAGGAACAAGTCCAGAAGTTTCAAGAAGTCCTGGCTGATTTGCAAGACATGAAAAGGAAATATATGTTCCTGATGGAGCAGAAGCAGAACGACGGGTCAAGGAAACTTGAGGAAACTGACAAAAGGATCAACAGTCCACTGGGTCTTCAAGAAGAAACCAAGAAGCTTCCAGTCAATTCAGGATACAGCCCAGCCAGTGTGAAGGCTCCAACACAGAACGCTTCGATTGGACCGTCTGAGCCTGAAGATCAGACCCAGCAGCAGCTGAACCAGTTGCTGGTTCTCCAGCAGCAGCAGAACCAGCAGAACCAAAGATCAGATCAGACCCAGCAGCAGCAGAACCAGCTGCTGGTTCTCCAGCAGCAGCTGAACCAGAGATCAGATCAGACCGAGCAGCAGCAGAACCAGCTGAACCAGAGATCAGATCAGACCGAGCAGCAGCAGAACCAGCAGAACCAGAGGTCAGATCAGACCCAGCAGCAGCAGAACCAGCTGCTGGTTCTCCAGCAGCAGCTGAACCAGAGATCAGATCAGACCGAGCAGCAGCAGAACCAGCAGAACCAGAGATCAGAGCAGAACCAGCAGCTGGAGAATCAGCTGCTGGTTTTGCTGCTGCTGGTTCTCCAGCGGCAGCAGAAACGGCAGCAGCAGAACCAGCAGCAGCAGAACCAGCAGCCATCTGAAACCCAGCCGTCTATCTCCAGACGCGTGATCAGCGGAATCGCCAACACGTTTCTGAGGATGTACAGAACCGGCACACTCAGATACTGGGTTGATTATTGGTATTTCTAAATGATGAAAAAAAAACCACACATAAAAAGTGTCTACACTCTAAAAAGAAATGAGTTAAATCGACTTAATCGAATCACTTCAATTGGTAACAAGTAAATTAATTAGGTTTATCCCACCTAGTTTATTAAGTTTAACCACATTCAGTTAACTTAATAAATTGAGTTCTTTCCAACTCAATATATTATGATCTTCCAACTCAATTCATTAAGTTAAACCAACTTACTCTGTTAAGTTGGTTTAACTTAAGTTAATTGTTAATTAATTTGCTAAATAACTAATTAATTATTAATTAATTGTTAAGACATGACAATAATGAATTAGTTAATTAATTAACAATTAATAATTAATTAAATTAATTAACTAATTAATGATTTATTTTAATAGCTTCAATTGCTATTAATTGAAGCTATTCAATTGGTAACAAGTAATTCAATTAAGTTGGACTACTTAATTGAATTAAGTAATTAATGGAATTACTTAATGAGTTAAGTAATTAATTGAATTACTTAATTTAATTAAGTAATTACTTGTTAATTATAATGAAGAAGTAACTAACAATTACTTGTTAATTCAGTTAACAAGTAATTGAATTACTGGTTACCAGTTGAATTGCTTCAGTTGGTAACGAGTAATTCAATTAAGTTGAGGCAGCTTAATTGAATTACTCGTTACCAATTGAAGCAATTCAATTAAGTTACAAAAACTTTGTAAATTGAGATGTATAAAGTTAATGAGTAGAGTTGGATGAGAGAGGAGCTGAACCGTCTCCCATTAAGTCCTGGGAAGCTAAAAATAAGCTGTGGCCAATATCTTTTTGTCGCAAAATGTGGACAAAAATGCTACTGGACATAGTATTTATGTTTCTATCTTGGTCTGTTTTTCTGTATGTTGTTTTTGTTTGAAATAAATTCATGGGAGGGAAGAACGAGGGAAAATGAAACAGGAAGAAACGGCAGTATGTGGTAGACATACAAAAACCGTCACCAACCAAAACGTCAACATACATGTACTTTAATCAACTGTAAGTTTACAAAGCAGGGAAATAAATTAGTGATTTAGGATTCATCTGGAAAATTTTTTCAAGTAAGCTGAGTGTGCCTGTTAAGAGTGTTTAGCTATTTTTTTTTACAAAAGCTAAAAGAATTAGCTTTTTAGTGGAAGTAAAGACCCTACTGGGGCAAGTACTTTTCACATCCCTGGTATAGAAGGAAACTGACCATTATCAAGTGTAACAGTGCAGTTTTTAACAGCCTGTTGGGTTCACATTTACCTTAAAGTAAAGGAAAACCAACCAAATGTTATGATCATCACATCTCAGCATTTCAAGGAGCAAGACCCTATTAGGAAGTGACAATGAGGTGCGTAAAGAGAGGGCTGATGGGAAAGCCAGGCTGTCTGTGTGGTGTTTTTATTACGGGCTGCTCTTCTGATTTCTTCCCTGGAAGAATAAAAAAAGCTCCACCTCATCCATGAAACAGGTTGGCGACGCCTAGCCGAACAGGAAGGAAAGCCATACAGGCTCTAGCATGACATATGTAAGCCGATCTCAGCTGGATTTGAAGTTTTAAGAGCTTCTGCCTGAAAGATTTAGTATTAAGAGGGGGAACTGTATACGACACCCTTATAAATTGGAATCAATTTTTCAAAGGAAATCATAAAAGCCCTTTCTCTTCCCTCTTCTTGCCACGGTGATGGCTTCATTTAAAGTGGGCCTGTTCACATTCTTCTGGGCATCCGCCTCAAGCGTTGGCCTCTGAGACGGGAGGTTTACGCCGAGGTTAGAGGGTTTTAAAGGTCCAATTTGAGCCGTTTTTACATTACATCAGGCTATCTTGTGGTATTGTTAGGAAAAAGGAGCAAAGAATAATACTGCGCCGGGGAGAACGACAAAGCCAGTCACTTCCTACAAACTGACCCAACTGATGAGAAAAGCAAAGCCAGTGTTACGACTTGCAGCGTTCCTAAAAGGGTCCATATGTACGAAGGCCATCGTTAAGCAGTTCTGGTTCCGTTGTGCTTCACTTGCCGGGCTCGTAACAAAACGCCGGGCTCCCTGGGAGGCGTCAGGGTGACGCATGATGATGACTCCCCGTCCGCTCCTCGTCCCACATCTACACCCAAAAAATGTAAAAAAGTAAAATTATTCAAGTAAAAAAGTATTTGGTAAAATGTCTACCCAAGTACTGAATAATTAATCAAATGATCAATCATTTAATATTTAAAAATTATGTCATCCGATGGACCAAGATAAGTGGAAGGACAGTGAATGCAACTCTGTATCTGCTCCATCTGGATGACGTGTAACATTTGATCATATTTTGGCATTAAAGCTGTTTTATTTACAACCTGATCTCATTATTTCTCAAGGTAATTTAAACTGAGGGGTTCTGGTCTTGTCTAGAAACAAATTAACGAACCTGGGAGGCGCACAGAGACAAAAACAAATAAACTCCAACAAAACTTACAACTTACAACGCAACTCTGCGTGCGATCAGAAAGAACATAATATTCATATTCAGATCATTATTTCTGTCCTGAAAC